ACAATAATGGCATTTCTACATGTGTCCAGCAGCACTCACAACCTCCAAAACAGTGTTCAGATATTAAGAGTCCAACAGAGTCCAAAATTTTCCAACTCTTCAATGGCTCCCTGAGATAATTTTTTCAGTTACAGGATAAAGGATTGTGATTTTCAAATATGTAAAGTGACTTTAGCTGGTTGGGATTTAGACAGCTAGTTTCTTCATGTGTTCTGGTGAAGATATATCTTAGGTGAAGTTAAATCAGTAAAAGAAAGTGGCTTTGCACCTACACTGCTGAAGAAATTCCCTAACACAACAGCAAAAAAACCTGTTCTCCAATAAGAGATCATGGGAAGATCCACCGCATATCGCCAGCAGAGAAAAGGGATCAGACACACCAATTTCAAGCTATGCACAGTACATTAAAAATTATCAACTTCTGAACAGAAAAAAAATAATTAAAACCTACAGTCTAAGATATTATCAGTTTAATACAGTAAGTAGGAAAAAAAAGCTTTTTCTTATAAGCACATCTGAAATATCATACTATCTTTGCATATGCATCAATTTATAAAAAAGAGATGATTTAAATCTTTTACATAGCTATAGCAATAAAGATTATCTAGAAATGCAATCGCTTTGAAACAATGGTTTAATTATGTTCAAACTGTTATTTAAACTCAGCCTCATTCAATTCTTCGCACAGTGAAGTTTTAAATCCCTTTCTATCACACATTAAATATTACTGCAAACTAGGAAACAAAAGAAACCAGGATGAATTGAAATAGAAAGAAAACCCAGATGTTCCAAAAAGCATGCACAGAAAAAGCATTAAGATGAGTATATTGAACAAATGCATTTTCTTCTATTTTGAAAAAAGACTGTCTTGTGACCTAGTGGGACTCAATTAACATATGTGGGTTCAATTTCTGGCTCTCCCAGAGACATCCTGCGTGACCTGAGAACAGTCAGACTCTATCTCTGCTTCTTTCCTAACTGTAATGGAGAGTACATTTCTTTTCTCACACTGCTTGTGTTGTCTGGTTAGAAAGCAATCATTTTCAGGATGGGAAGCACAGAGCCAGATGTAAATATGAACTCTGTATATTTCAGCAGCGAAATACAAATAAATACAATAAAGAAATAAATCTCTGAACAGCAAGGCTAAATCTGTAACCTGTGGCTATTCAGGTTTGTTTGTTTCTTATTTCTTTCTCTCTATTTCTTTATGTGGCTATTCAGGTATCTTCTGGACACTTCTTTGTTCAGAAGAACAGAAGTGTTCAGAGAAATATCCAGCAAAGATTCTTCAAAGTTAAGAAAAATTTCTAAATTATGTTACATTAATTAACTCAAAAAAGATAGCAAAATCATATTGATATTGCATGTTTAGACACTATACTTCATCAAAACAAGATCTGCTTGCAAACAGGTAGGTTGAAGAATAAATTTTCCAACGGTGACCAAACATAACAGAAATTTAAAAAGTGGCTAATACACTGTGATTATGTGGGTTAGGATGAACGAGATTTTTTTGTCTTGTGAGAATGTAAAAATTAACCAATATCAGCATCGTGGTGCACATAGGTATCTCCACATTAACTGGCTGTTACTGAAAAGCTGCCTGCAATTACTTTTGCATATATATTTAAGGACGGTCTTGGCAAGTGATTCTCCTATGTCATGTGGAGAACTAGTACTGTGTCCTAGCAAAACATCCTCGCAGGGTGCAGTGACCACCTGCACCTTGATCAGACACCACCCAGTCCATACAGGAATCAGAATGTCACAATTTGTCAGAAGAAAAAAAGTGTGCCAGTGTAGTGCTATTTCATACTAACAAGTAGCCATATGCTATGAACTACTTCAATTTCAGGCTTGGGTATGAGGGACTTTAAAGAATAGCCAGGCCACAAAGTAACTCCCAGAAACCAGAGCACTCGAGGCTTGCTTTCCCATCCCTCAAAACAAGGTAAGGAGAACAAAACATTGATATATTACATAAAACATTAATATGGCAGCTACATCAGTTTCAGTTATTAGAAACTAACTACAAGCTGCAACACAGAATT